CTAAGGTAAGGAGCCCAAAACTGAACACAATACTCCAAATGTGGCGTAACTAGTGACCTATACAATGAAATTATAACCACTTTAGACTTGCATTCAATATTTCTGTAGATACAACCTAAAATTCTTTTTGCCCTACCAATATCAACAGCACACTGCTTGGATTGCTTTAGAGACTGATCGACTATTACACCTAGATCCCTTCCTTTCATGACACTGTTAGGATTATTCTCATCCAAATTATATCTATAATTCAAATTATGATAACCTGCATGCATTATCTTGCATTTATTACGATTAAATCCCATTTGCCATTTATTTGAACAACTCCCTAAATGATCTAAATTCTTTTGTAAATCAGTAGCATCCTTTTCACAGCTAGCAACACCAAAGGCATTAATATCATCAGCAAATTTAAGTAATTTATTGACTATTCCTTCATCTATGTCAGTGATGTAAATCAGAAAGAGTAAGGGTCCTAAGACTGAGCCCTAGGTACCCCAATTGTAACATTAATCCAGTTTGACTAACTCCATTTGTGACAACTCTCTGCTTTGTTCCATCCAGCCACTCTTCTATCCAATCTGTTAACTTATCTCCCACAACTAATAAGATAATTGTTTTTTACAAAAAATTTATGTGGAACCCTGTCAAATACTTTATTAAATTCGAGATATACCAAATCTACACCCTTATCCTCATATACATAAGCAGTAACTTTTTCTAAGAATGTTAAAAGATTTGTAAGGCAAGATGTTCTCTTAGTGAAACCACGTTGACTATTCAATAAAATTCTAAACTTTGTTAAATGATTTTGCAAAGCATCTTTTAACAGACTTTCCAAAACTTTCCCACAGCTGATGTAAGACTAATGGATCTATAATTACTGTGCCAATTTTAATCACCTCCCTTAAAAAGAGAAGCTACATTAGGTAACTTCCAATCCTCTGGTATCTGCCCGCTTACATATCCAACCCTTAATCTCTTTCAAAACCCTTGGGGAAATATTATCTGGCCCAGGAGCTTCATTGTTCTTTAAACTTCCCAATTTTCTTTTAACCAGCTCAGTAATAATGCAGTCATCTAGTTTGATCTTGTTTCGTCTATTAACTGTTCAAGATGTGGAAATACTGCTTAAATTTTCCTAAGTAAAAACTGAAGAAAAAGAAAAAGTTAATAACCCAGCCATCTCATAATTATCTGATACGAGCCTTTCTTTATCATCCCTCAAGGGTCCTACCCTATCCTAACATTTTGTTTATCTTTAATGCATTTAAAGAAATCCTTACTGTTAATTTTTACACTTTCAGCCAACATTTTCTCATACATATTTTTTGATGTCCTAATTTCGTGTTTCACCAACTTTCTTGATCTTCTATAATCTTATAAATCTCCTGTCATACCAGTCAATTTTTTTTTAATTTATGATGCTTTTCTTTAATTTTACTTAAATTGTACTCTTTGTGAGTCAACTTGATTTTTTACTTGCAGCTACCCTTTTCTTTATATAAGGAATATGTTTACTTTGAACATTTAAAAATGTATTTTAAAAAATTTCCACATCTGATCAGTGTCTTCAAATAACTCAGCTGCCCAATTCACAACAGATAATTCTTGTTGCTTCCCTTCAAAATTTG